AACCTTCACTACCTTGAGGTCTGTTTTGCTGTTGGGCAGCTGTGAGGTCATGTGACGTCATCAAAGGTCACCAAAGGTTTTTGGCCAATAACTCCGTACAGGAACAAGATACAGACGCGTGGATGGTCTCATTGTGTTCAGCTCGTCAAGACGCATCGAATGATATACATGATGACCTCGAGGTCACGTGACCTGAGGTCAACCTTTGACCTTGACCTTTCGAGGTCAACATATATATCATTCGATGCGGATTGACGAGAGGATCACGATGATGCCCTTAGTTTGTTCCTATCTTGACTAATTCGAAAGTTATTCGAGAAAAACTCTCTCCATATTTAGCGCCGCCATTTTGACTTTTTCGACCCCTGTGACGTCATCTTTGACCTGACCTGAAAATGACCTGAGTAAAAATTGTAGATCTTGACCGTGCGTATCCGATGCCGTTTACCGCTTGTCGCTATCTTGCTTCGTTCTCGAGATCTCAGGGGGGGGCGGTCATCCGCCCCCCCCCGTCGGTACTAAGTTGGCGCAGACCCCCGTCGGTGCGCGGGTTAAGCTAGATCCAATTTCTTTGCACGAAAGGACTCAGAATTGACCGCGCTATCAAACTGCTATCTCGGATTTTCAAAATTTTGAAAATTTCGAAAATTTTATATAATAATATTCAAAATTTATATTTTTTTATATTTTTTTCAAAAAAAAATTGACTTTTCGAAAAAAACGGAATATATGTGACAGAACGCATAATTATGACTAACTCTAGCAAGTTTTAGCTAAATATCTTCAAAAATGGCTAAGTTATACGCATTATTGCAAAAAATTCACAATTATTAATTTTTCAAATCAATTTTTCAGTACGTATTTGACATCGTACACCAATATAAATGGCACCATCGTGTTCCTGAGCTCAAACTGCATCCAACAGACACCTTTTTTGTTGAAAAATTTCAACTTCAAAATTTGACCTTTTTTGACCTGAAAGTGACCTGACCTAAGCTAAATTCGACTCAAAATGACCTCGAATGACACAGACGACATCAAATTCGAAATCTATGGCCTAAATGGACCATAAAACATGTGTCACGTGACCGACGCATGATATAATATTTTCGTGACCTGTGATGACCTGACCCTGACCTGAAAATCAAAGTACAAGTTTGGTACCCTCAAGGTATCTAGAGCATCTGTTCACGAGTGTGCAAACCAAAAATGAGCCTGATCTGACTTGTAAGACGGCGGCCAGAGCCCAAAATGTGAACAAGCTAAAATGCTAATAATTTTTATTTTGACCTGACCTGTGACGTCATCGGTGACCTCGAGGTCAATGAAATTAGGTTTCGTTCGACAGTTTTTCCGGGGCTATCAGACGCCGTTTGAATTTTGACGATCGGCCCAGTAGTTTCGGAGTTAGGAGGGGGCAAGATTACTTTACTACTCAGGAGGGGGGGCTATGAATAGCCCTCCCCCCCCCCCCAGTAGGGCGTGTTATACACAGACCCCAGTGGGGCGCGGGTTAAGCCTCAGCGTATTTATTTATTAATTGAGTTGCAATGTGACAATTGTTTTATAGATATGCAAGACACTTCAACAAAAAGTACCCGACGCTTTGTTTATTAGGTATATCCCTGGAAATAGTTATAATAAACAAAACGTCGAGTAATTTTTGTTCCAATATCTTGCCTCAGGGTATGTTGGTTTCATATCCGTCGTATTTCATCTAGCTTTAAATTCAAACCGAATAGCCAATGTCTTGCTTTGTGCGTGCCAGGCTTTTCGTGGTAACTTCACACAATTGCACGTTATTGGTACCAATCAAGCGAACTAAATCCTGAGACGTGGTCGTATTTCAGCCGCCCGCTTCTAGCATCCCTCTACAAATAGGACAGAGTTCTGTGATATCGCAGGCGGAGCCAACTTCCATCAACTTGGCGGCGACACAAACTGTCCAATCTAGGCCGAGCTGTTTGAGTTGGGTGTCGAACAATGCAGCGCGCAGAGCCGCTCGGGCTGTCCAATATCGTGCGGTTTGCCGATCTGCCTGCGAAACCAATGTTCCTGTGATTGCATTTCAGGCTAATATGATCTTCTCCATACCACAATTCCGCTGGGTTCCTTGCGGCCCAGCGCGGGTGCGTCATGTGTAGCCACCTGCCTTTCATGCCGTTACAGTTACAATTAAACGGCATTCCCACCGTCGTTTTGAGAACCCCCTGAGAGGCTAATTTCCTTGCTGGAACGGGGAGTGAAACGCGCGCTCGATGGCGAGAACCGGGTCGATGTCGGGCCTTCCAGCAGGCCTGGCGCGCGCTGTGTCTCGTTTATTGGCCGGTATTAGCGGTGAGAGCGGTGCCTCGCTCCCCTGCCGTCGTTATTGGTACCCGCACGCACCGGTGGTGCCGGCACGCGATCAGCCGGCGCCTTTCGGTAAGTGGAGCCGGTCGATCGTCGGACAAAATGCGATCGGAAAAGAAAGAAAAACAAAAGGCTGGTGGTGGTTAGTTCGAATTGTTGCGCTGTCGCTGTCGGGCCGCTGTTTTGCTGTCTGGTGTGAGGAGATTCCAGACTATTGATGTTCAGAGGCTCTCACAACGATTCGAGACGGTTCCTTCGGCCGGGACGATTTCTCTGATTCCGAGTTTTAGATGCCGTCCGTTTTATTGCCGTACCTGCCGGCCCCGAGCGGCGCCTGTTCGCTCTACTGGCGGTACTAGTGGACGGACGTGCTCCATCAGAGGCCGCCAGCGGGATGGCTATGAGACGGGCAGGCATGCACTTCGCTACCGACGTGCCTTCTGCTTTCTGATCACTTCTGTATGCCCCCGGGTGCCCTGAGTTCCCAGAACAACTCCATGTCTGCTCCGGGGTGGTCTATAGTCAATAGTCTGCAGTTGTGCCCCCGGATAATACTCCACTGTACTATATGCTTCAATGGTCACTTTTGCACTCCCTCACATGCTCTTCGATCACACAGCTCCCAACGTCACTCACATGCTCTGCTCTAAGTTCCCCTCATTTCCCTGATGCTCTCTGCTTACGGCAGCAGCCTGGTACGCTGAGTACGCGCGTCTGACGTCCAGGATAGTTTGTGCGCCGCCATCCGAGGGATTACGGGCCCCGGCTGCGCCGCGCGATATCCGTACCTCATTAGCACAGCGCGCAGAGTCGTCCATGGTCGATGGATGGCTGAGGGGGGGGGGGGGCACGCACAAGGGCAGGGCACAGGGGAGAGAGAGGATGACCCTTAACCCGCGCCCCGCTGGGGGGGGGGCAGAATCTGCCCCCCCTCCCGTTTTTCGCCAATAACTTCTAAACGCGTTACGCCAGCGACGTCAAACTTTCAGTACCTTATCATACATCAATTTGACACGTTCCCTGAAAATTTGAGCGAAATCCGTCGGAAAATTTGTGAGAAATTGACGTTTTAGTGACGTCATGTTCGCCATTTTCGCCTCAAAAACGGCAAAATTTCAAACGCCGCTAACTTCTTCATTTTTAAAGGAATCAAGACGTAACAAAAAAGGTTATGCGTGATTCTACTTTGTCTATCAAATGGCTATCTCGGTTTTTTGAAAATTTTGGATTTTGGCCAAAATTTTCCCAAAAAACTGACTTTTTTGGGAAAATATTTATAAAATCCAAAATTTTGAGTTTATCGAAAAAACCGGAATATATGTCAAAGAAGTGGTCTATGTGCACTTACATACCAATTTTGAGAAGAATTGGTTCAAAAATGTGGGAGTTATTCAAAATTTTATGACGTCACGACACACAAATTTTTTGAAAAATGATTTTTTTTGGAAGTTCTAGCCCTCGTACGGAAACAAAAATAGCACCATTCGATTCGCCGTGAAAAACTGCATCGGATAGACACCTTTTTAGGCCTTAACAACCAACTTCAAAATTTGACCTCACTTGACCTGACCTTGACCTGACCTCGACCTGAAATTCATTCAGAGGTGGTCCATATCACTTATTGAGTGTGCCTATTGAATTCCATGAGTAAAATGACCCGTAAAACATGTGTCGCACATGCCCTTTTCTATATTTTGTTTTTGGTGACCTGACCTGACCTGACCTGACCTTGACCTTGACCTTTGAATGACATTGTGTGCAACGAATATTGTCTTGGTAGTCTAAGAACACGTTTTGGGCAATCAGTCTCAGTCCATTCTTCGGCAACTACGGTGCAAGGCCGATACTGTAGAAACTTGCATTTTGTACCCTTGACCTGACCTTGACCTGACCTCTGACCTACTTAAGCAAAAAAATTTGGGCTCTTAAGATCCGCCTTGTTGAGAGCTTTCGATTGCCGTTTTCCCCGTCTTTCTACGACCATCGGTTCGGAAGTTAGACAGGGGGGGGCAGAATCTGCCCCCCCCCCCCCCCAGCAGGGCGCGTATGGCTGAATAGCCCAGCGGGGCGCGGGTTAAGGGCCTCGGGAGAGAGCGTTAGGGATGGGAGTGTGAGCGAAGAGCCAGGTTAAATGCATTAGGGGTTGGCTTTGGAATACGGCCGAGCTTGTGGTTTTGGCGTATTGTCTTTCTCTAGTTTCGCTGTGGCGCTAGGTATGTGCTATGATTTCGTGCCTTAGAGCTACACACGTGCTCGGCGGTGCTTCAGACTAGTCGGCGGTCTTTTATTGTCCGTTAGAGTCCGTATCGCTGAATCCCGGCGTGGTATCTGGCCACACGCACCCGTGCTATCTCACCTGACGTGTATCGCCTCTGGTCTGTAGCCCTCTTCTCCCCTCCCCGTTAGTTGAGTTTGTCCGAACACAATCTGTGCATTGTGTACATACACACTTACAGCCGGCACGAAACGTGCTCAGGCAGGGCCTTCGGGCGTGCTCTGACCGTGCTAACGTGCTGGATGCGTGCTCGGGGTCCGAGAACACTCTCACATACCCCGAGGCCCCCGCTGCAGGCAGGCATTATACTGTCAGCTTCTGTATATCCCCTCAGTATGTGCCTCCCGGTGACGTGTTCTATTGTTCTCCACAGCCATGTGTTTGGTACGTTGATGCACGCAGTCACCTCTGCAGAGGCGCAGCGGGTCCAACTGCAGTGCCGCTCACTGCTGAGAGTCGCCCAGAGCATATTTCGACACATCGGTAAGACTGGGGGATGGTGGGATGTTTGAGCTCAAGCTGTGATAGAGGAGTATGACTGGGTGGGTCCCAATGTGCTTAGGTTAACTAAACACATTGAAGCTTTTCACGGAGAAGTTTTTCATGAATGATTTTGAGGAAGACCTCATTCAGAGGACTGTGTGATTGTCTTCAACGTAAATGTTTCGCGTTGGCAGTCGTTGGTTGTGGCGCATTCCATTGCGTTCCGTCAGATATGCATAGTGCCTTTGATTGCGCCGTTTCGTTTATAATGAACCTCGAACTGGGGGCTTGGACTGCTGCGCTTCCAGGCATCCGCGGCATTTTCGCATTTAAGATTGATGAGTTTTCTCACATGTCCAAACTCGATAATGGATCAATTTCGGTTGAGCAAATTTGTAATGACCGCTGTGCAATTTAGTATCCCTGGCGGGCGTTTTCTCCCACCGCAAGCAGCCTGCAATATGATTTATCGTGCCCTAATCATCTCAATCAATCACATTTAATACAGACCATTACGGCTTTGACATGTAATGATCTGCATTGCACCAGCCCTATTGTTTTCGGCGCGGTTCCAGCGGCACTAGCTGTCTGGGTGATTCATAAAGCATGTTGCATTTCTCATTTCCTGCGCCACGGCGCGATGGGAGCATGTGTCTGGGCCGGAGTTGTGATTTATGCCGCGGCGGGCGCGCTCCATCATAGTCGGCACATTGCGGCGGATATGAGCTGTGCCCGCCCGACTGCCTGGCAGAGGGTAAATCGGAGGGACGGGCACGGGCGGTGGACGGCGGCGCATGATCGGCTGATGGCAGTTGGTGACATACCAGGGAAATAAGCTAAAATTAGAGCGCTCTATTTATTGCTCCTGCCCCATGTTGAAGAGATACCCCTAAAAGCGTGATCTTTTATCGGCCCTTACGCAGCAAGGCAGTAATTCTCAGACCGGTGGATGGTATCAATAGAAAGAGAATGCGTCAAAGATTAACATGAATTAATTAAAATAACATTAAAATGTTAATTAAGTGTGGAAATTAGTCCCAAACATAAGCTAATTATTGCTCCTACCTCGGCGACGGCGCTCCCCGCAGTCGGCGGAGAAGCTAAAATAAAAGCCACCATCCTCCTCCGTAAGTCAATTTTAGAGCGGCCGAGTGGGCCGATGCGGGGCCACCAAACTGAGGTGAGACGTGGCTAGTAATTGCAAACCGCCATAGAAATCAATATCTTAAGACGTACAATATGGGATGATTACTCTGAAGCTGGAGTGAAAGCATGAGTAGATTGCAAGAAACGAAATGCATAGATTAGTTGAATTATGTACAATAGGCACAGCTCAGATGAAGCCATTTCTATGATGTTGACATATGACCTAAGTACATAACCCTTCCTCTCCTCACCTATGACCTAAGTGCATTGGCAGTTACCGGCATAGTTTTTGAGCACGAGTGTAATTCGCCATCGGACCGCAATACATGTTGCTAGGCTGCTGCAATTACAACGAACATACGAATACTGCCTTCATCTGTAGACGTTTGTTTTTTAGGCGGTCTTTGACGTGCAAGGGGGCATACCTGTCGACAACTTGAGTTTCTCCGAATTTCAAAAACTCCCAGAATTTCAATTCCTTATGCACTGTTGTAGGTACAGCTATGTTCACAAGTTTTTGTTTCCTCCTGTTCTAAAAAGGATGATATTTGTCGATTTCGTGCGTCGCTGATAGGAGGGTGCGTTTAATAATTAGGCCCAACGCTTTCTACATCCGCGAGTGCCTTCAAAAGGGAACAACAGTTTTCATTTATTACACTATGGGACATGTGACAAAATGACCACTGGAACACGCATGAAACGGAGCTCATATTCCTAAAAATGTCTACAATCACTTCTTTTCTGACACTATTAGCAAATACCATCTCAAGTTAGGTGGTTGACAGACAGTCAATGGAGATCTGGGGAGACTGAGTGATGCCAATTCACCACTTAACTGATAATGAGGGCCGAGGGAAGAGAAACATGCAACATGCACAACTGACAACTTGACAAGTGACAAAACACTACCACTATTGCGCAGTGCACAACAAATTACAGCAGCCAGCCCAAAAAATGCTTTTGGTGGCTAATTGCAAAACAAGTCACTAATAAATGTCTTAGTTGCAGCTGAACACTGCACAATAATCACACTGTTCACACATTGAGTGAGATGCCACAGGTGGTTTGAATCACACTTTGGTTCAACTGCAAATCTGAAGTGTTGTCATGAGGTTCATGCCTCCATGATCACAGCACTTTGGTTGTGGTTGGCATAACACTTGTAGTCTGCAGAGTTCCACATGAACTGCAGACACCTCATCTGGTGGTCTTCATGTTGCTCAACTTCTTCAGGAGGCAAATGTCGACCACCCAGCGGAAGCATGGTCCTGCAGAAAAGAAAGGTAATGCATAAGGTACAAACATTATCTGCTGAAACAGCTCCTTCTGTTGGCTGTTATTAAACTTTTAACATAGGTAACATAACAACATGTATTCCATGTATATTACATTTGTTGAAGTAAAATACTGCCGGCTATTTCAAAACCAGAAAATGAAATTATATTGTGGCATAATTCACCTGCTCAGCTATCAGTATCAAATAATAATTAATGTAATATTTGGCATATTCTATATAACACATTCATAGAATATTCTACTTCACGTCACAAGGACTCACAATCTTTCTGTTGGGTGTTTGATTGACGCATTAACTAAGTTTGTCTTAGGTTTTATTATTGCAAAAAATTCATATTGCATTATTGTATCAAAATACTGCCAGCAATAACAAAACAAGAACATGAAATGCCAATGAGCAAGCCGCCTTTCCTTAAAATGGATTACTTTGAAAGGAATTTTAGTTTCTTTTAAGGAAAAGGAGAAATGATTATCAGGTAATTATCAGAAAACCACTCAACCAGCAAGTGGCTGGGTGGTTTCACAGCAAACATCAAGCCAAAACATATACTTACATCAATCTAACAATTGAGCCATTTGACTACTACAAGGATATGTGAGCAAAATAAGAATCCAATTATCCAATGTTGACTTCCTTGCAAAGTTTATGCCTTATTTTATGAAAATGTGTCACTAGAATATGATACTTATCATCGAATATTATTTAATTTACGATTTATTTCGATCGGAATGCACATGAAGTCCCGCGCCATTTTCGTCGACGATGAATATGATCGTGTTTCATGAAGAGATAAGGGGTTTCAATGGTCTTTCAAAGCAATAATTTGATGCAAAAATTTGTAGGAAATAATATGAAGCTGGTTCAAATGGCCATCAACCATTTAAAACACCGAAAATACTCACAACTCCGTCCCGACGACCACGCAGCACCGCGCACGCCACACTACTGGCACAATGCCAAAACTGCTGTCACAGCGGAAATGTTTTTTTCTCTCGATTGCAATTGTGGAATTATTTATTAAACAGAAGATGATCTTTCCGAAAAACCGACTGATTTCATACACAGATGCATGGAAAATAAAAAAATCCCGGTAAGTTTATTTATATTGTTTTGTCGATTTTGACATGCTCCTAGTTTGCAGCCATATTTCGATATGTTCTACAGGGAGTTCAGAATTATTTCAGGACCAATCTTTTCCTCATTCATTTTCCCGTCGATCATGAAATTTTTAGAGCGGAACAATTGGTTTCCAGGCGGTCCGAGCGGTTTTCGTGAGAAGGGTGCAAAAATCGGCGTCATTTTTAGAGCCTCGACACCAGCTCAACACAGGACCCTATGGGAGACGGTGAAGTAGCGGGAGCAATAAATAGAGCACTCTAATTTTAGCTTATTTCCCTGGTGTGTCACCGACTGATGGCAGAGGGTCAATCGGAGGTACGGGCACTGGCCCGCCGGACAGCGGCGCATGATCGCCATCGGCTGTCAGAGGGTAGAAGAAAGTACGGACGGATTCACCGGATAGCGCCAGGCTGTGTTCGGTGGAGCGTAACATCCGGTCAGCTTCTAGGGAAATAATGATACTTGAAACAACATTAGACTGACCAAGTGCCAAGTGGTGACCTCAGATTGACCTTAGGATAACTTCAGCCTGTGGTGATCTCGTGCTGACCGAACGGCGACGCTTGCATGGCTGAAGATTTCAGTCCGGTCTGACCAGTCTCAGTATTGAGATCAGTCTGACCCTACGATAACCTTAGATTGACATAGAGACCTAAGGTTGATCTTATGTTGGCCCCAGAGTAACATCCCAATTACCCTGCATTGCTCACGGGATGAACTCAGACCGATCCCTGGAAGCTCCGCCCACCTCCCGGAGACCTGTGCCCGGAAAGCTCTCAGATCATTAAGTGACGAGCTGACAATGTCATGAATGCCTGACGAGGTGGGGATTAGAACTCATCAACCAGGTCCCGTCAGGCGATCCCCAATGACCCGGGCTTCCTCTGTGATGAGCCCTGCACTCCGCAGGGCAGCGAGAACGGCGGCTGGTGGCAGTGGTGCTGATGGAATTTGTGAGAGGGGGCAGAGGTCACCGTGTTGCTGTTGTGGCGCAACAGGATGAGGACGACGGACAATATGTTATTGCATCAGACTCAGTACAGTTATCTTTTCGACGTGCCAATTGAGGGGTGAGCTTATTTAATTTAGGTGGTACAGGATCGAATCATGTCTGAGCTAGCCTAAGCTCGCCTTCGAATTTCATTCTTATCACGGCGCCAGCGAGGCTTTCACAGACCGCTCTTTGCAGGCGTCTGTCTATTTTTCCGCCCGAAATATTCGTTCAGAGCTGCGTTCAGTTGGCTGACATGTGGCTTTTAGCGAAATTGGTATGCATTATTCAGTGACAAGTGGTGGGCGCTGTTCGCCCGCCTGTTACAGCGCTGGTAACTAGATTGTAGTTTCCACGACCCGATGGGCCTTCAATTATATCTGTATTATGCAGTCGGCTAGAAATGCTACTCTTAAGGAGCCCAAAACTTTCTATCGCAAATGCCCTTTTGCCATACATATTTACAGTTCAGTAGCGACTTGTCGTTAATTGGGGGAGACATTGAGGCTCCCTCATATGCCTGCTAATCCCATCACGAGGATATTGAGGCTCCTTTAACAGTCACTTCATCCCATTAACAGTCACTTCATCCCATCTGGATTATTTTCAAGTTCACTGGCCACCCCCCGACAAACATTCTCTAAAATATGAGCCGCTAAGTCATCGAGCTGTGGTCTGCATTGACGGGAGTGGGCAAAGGTTTCGTGTTTTTTATCATCCATCATTATCATATTCACATCGGACACTCCCGTCTCCATTGGACTACGACACTCCACTCGTATCCCACTCACTTCTTCTAACCCACCACTCATGCCGAGAGCCTGAGGCCGAACTAAAAGTCTTCGGAAACCACTATGCAGCCGGCACGGCTCGAGGATTTCCCCTAATGCTATTGTATAACTAGCTCTTGTGGATGGCTGTATTTCGAATTGCACCTTCGCTGAGCGCGCAGTTTGTTCGCGGGGGTTTCCACGGGGGGGGGGGGGGGATCAGCAGCGCCCGAAGTGTCTGGGACGGCCACTGCAGACATACAGACAGACAAACAAACAGCAGTATCGACCTACGGGAGCTGAGCGCCACCGGCTGGCTCTCGCTGGGACAGACGGCACGTGACTGGAGGGCAGAGGTCACTGTAGAGGTCACAGTGCTCTGGAAAGGTCAGAGTGGTCACTGCAGAGGTCAAACCGTCAAAACACCCTACAAAGGTCAGAGAAGTCACTGCAGAGGTCACTTGTCTCATGAAGATCACAGAGGTCGTCTAGAGGTCGCTGTCACAAATGTCACTCCAGAGATTACTGTATCCTGAAGATCAGGGATCGCTCCAAAAGTTACGGCGTCTTGGAGAAGTTACTGGAGCCGCCAAAGAAACCACATTATTATGCAGCGACCACGACCACAAGGGCTTTTCGAGATGTCCCTGTGCCATCATGCAATCACAGGGATTACTCCAGAGGTCACAGTCCTGGAATGGCCACGGTGGTCGGTCTTGGTGGTCACTAGTTTTTAGTAACTATTCTCCAGAATGACCACAGAGATGACTCGATAGTTCAGGTCGCACAGAGGGGTGGCTGGATCGCACAAGCTGCCCGGCTCACATACGCACCTGTATCTCAGCCTCTCCTCTCTGTTGCTTAACATTCAGCAGCATGCTACGAGAGTAGGTTGAAGAGCCATGAGGAATTCCAATCGTACATTACTCTGGTGCCGACGAAACGCTGTGGAACGGGTCGTTTCGGAGATGGAGGTAGCTCGAGGGTGTTGGCAATGTCAGTGAGATGGACACCGAAAGGTCACGCCCTCACTCGGATGATGAGTGGATCCATGAAGGGCGAAGGTCGTTGGCGGTTTCGTCTGAAAGAAATACGTTGCATGTTTTTTATCCGATGTGCCTTGCTTTTTTCATTCGATGTGCATTGAATTTCGGGTCTCCATGTGTCGTCTAATGGAGCCTTTGCAAACTTTCCAATTTCGTTTATGTGATTACCACCCATGCCACCTTTTACCGGGCTAATTCCATCACGTAATTCGGCGAGGTGTGCTATATTTGGACGCCCACCACTGGCCGTGCCAGGCCTGTGTGCCATCGGTCGCAGCCAGCGCGGCGTAGTGCGGCGCAGTGCGGCTCTACCACTGACCACGGCTTGGCAGAGGGTCGCCTCCAGCCTCGCTGGCTGGTGGGGACGGCCCTGCTCTCTGGAGGGCTCCTACTGCCTCTGCAGGTCTTGGATCGATCTGCTGTTCAATGAATACCCAGCTGTTCTGCTCCCAGGCCGATGTAGTCCCAGACTGGGATAACAGACGTGGAGACAGGAGACGAGGTGAAATGGTACGGGGCGGAGACAAACGAGAGACTGAACTGCAGGAGACAGCTCGGTGGTGCATTTAGACAGAGCGTGGGAGATCCTAGATAATGAACGCGAAGATGGAGATATGAGAGAACGAGAGACATAAATCGGAGGGTGAAGGGATATGTAACGCTATTGACAGGAGCCATGAATGTTTGAAACGAGGCACTAATGCGGAAATGATGAAGGAAACACGAAATTGCTTGGGTTAGACATTGAGCAGATGGGATAGTCATAGAAGGCCGAAGACTTTTTATGAATCAACCAAGGCGGGGAGGCTATTACTTTCTTCAGTCCGTGTGTCGTTGCGTAGGTACGCCCTCCATGCCAGAGTCGCTCGGGGGCGTCAGCAACGGTCAGCGACCGAGCGGTAAATAGTCTGCGATCGCTACCCGTTATAGAACTCGTTCTGTCATAGCGATTTATATCGCCTGTGCGTAGTCGGTGTGGGACGAGTGAACCCTGGCGCGGGAACAGCTCTGCAGCATCGGCAGAGGCAAGCCGTCCTATACGAGTATCTGTCAACTCCTGAGAGGTACGGGGACTCCAAATCAACTGAAGTGGATTGGAACCAAGTCTGGTCGAGCGGAGGCGAGACGAGACGAGGTGATTCGAGTCGACTGGACATATTTCCAGTCGATGACGAGAGTCAGGTGAAGACTCGTCATGTCGAGCTGCACCGTATCGGTGGCTCGAGGTGACTTGACTCGGGGTTGACTCGATGCCCGTATCGAGCCGTGACTCGTAATGACTCGATACCCGTATCGAGCCGTGACTCGGGATGACTCGATGCTCGGTGTTGGCCGGCAGTAACGAGGCCTTGTCGTCAGCTCGCTCCTAACGAGCTGGGCTGCCTCATTGGCTGCTGGGAGCCGCGGGTGGCTGGCGGCGGCATCGCGGTGGGAGACGCCGGTATCACGTCTCCGCCAGCTCGGGAGTGGCGCTGGGACAAGGCTCCCTGATGACTGGGATGCGATGTGACTGTAGAGACTGGAATAGGGAGACGGACGGACGCGAGATTTTGTTGTCCAAATCACACCACCCGCCCCCTCTCTGTTTCTGACTCTGTCTCCGCCTCTGTCTGACTCTGCATCCGCCTCTCTCTGTCTCTCGCATTTCTCTCTCTTTCTCCGTCATCAAATCCCCCCTACGTCGCCGTTCCCATTGCGCTGACGGTAATTACCCCCCCCCCCCCTCCCGGACCTCCGGTGAGAGTGTGAGAGTCGCGCGACACCCTGCCGCGTGCACTGCGCGCCCCGTTCTCACATTGTCGCTCGGTGACGGTGTGACCAGCCACTTACGACATCTCACGCTGAGCTCTGTCCCATACTCCGGCCGGCGGTACGGGGACACGGCACAGCGGTGACCGGGCTGGCTTCAGAAGCGACTCAAGGGGCTCCACAGGCACCCAGCTGTTCGGCTCATGGTCCTAACAGCGCTCTAACCAATCTCATGAGGCGCCGAGGTCTGCGTTTAAAGACCTCGCGCTGGGAATAATAATACGGGTCAGCTGGTTGGCTGACTTTAATTTGATCCTTTGCTAATATATGGAGAGACGTGTTGCTTTTAGGTGGTGAGGATATTGCATGCTTCATATTTCATGAATCATGCCTATGCAGTGGTGTGGCACTAGCAGTATCTCGTGTTAGCAGCAGCATTCCAACATATGAGACCGGCATATTATATGTTATTTTGTGGTGCAGTGTATCAGTGTCACGTCGGTGTTTGGCTCAGGTGACGTCAACCGTTTGGTGTCCGACTCTGTGACACCGCCCCGACGCCAGCTTAGACACCGTACTCCGACCCTAATGTTTTCCAGGCTACAACATTCTCGCATAGTTTCCTTGACATCATACAGTGTTTTGTCTGGGATAATCACGTTCCATCAACATTTGTAGAAATGCCATTAGATCAGTTTACATAATCTGCATAAGCTGACATTACAATACCTCTGTAGATCACCGTGCTGACGTCCCACTGACGTGACGTGACGTGTCTTTCAGGTGACGTCACAGTGCTTCTGCGGGACATCATGACGCAGGCGCGGAACCTGACTGGCGCCGAGCGCTGCTCGCTGTTCCTCGTGGACAAGCGGACCAACGAGCTGGTGGCAAAGGTGTTCGACGTGGCTGACGATGCCGAACAGATTGTGAGTGGTTGGGGAGAGAGGCAGAGGGAGGGAGAGGAGAGGGAGAGGGAGGCAGAATATAGCTCAGAGTGACAAGTGGTGGAGGCTAGGGCTATAATTTGTTTTGGAACTCGTTTGAAGAGAGAAGGGTTGAGTGTATTGGGTTTTATTTTCTGGTGATCGATGGGGTTGATGGTGCACTGCACATGAATGTTTTTATCTGGTGATTGGTAACAGTACTACGGTGCACGAGAGTGTATCTCTGGTGATTGGTGACGAACTACCGCCTGATGGTGGTGAGCCGGTGACTGCACTGTTTCTCTGGTGATTGGTGACGCTACGATTGTCGACTGGTGGCTGAATTCGGTTGTGATGACATCGTTTGTACCCTAGTCGGGGTCGGTCGGCGGTGTCGGTACCTGGTGTGGCCTCCGTGACCCGTGGGGCCCCGATCGGACACCTCTGTGACCTGTGAGGGTCCTGTCTGACACCCTCCGTGACCCGTGAGGCTCCGTCTAACGCCTGTGTGCCGTGTGGGTTGGTATGTGCCGGTCTGCCTGTCACATGTGACTTGTCATCTACCGGTCCGACTGTCACATGTGTCTTGTCATTTACCGGTCTAACTGTCATATGTGACCTGTCATATTATGCCAGTCGTGCTCTGCTGGTCCCTTCCCATATGGATCAGGTACGAACAGAGATATGCTCGTTGATATACGTGGTGTTGCCGTATTGCGAAGAGTCGAGATGTGTAGCCGGCCAGTCCCCGTCTACCAGGTCCTAACTCGCCCGTATTTACCCTGAGTACCCTTTGTAAGTGGTACTCCATTCAGCTGAAGAGTTGGGTCCGATCAGGCTACCATGTAATAGCACCCACTCAGCGTGAACATGGCTTGACATAATGTTAAGGACCCTTTCAGATATAGGTATCTTTGTTTTGTTAATCATGTCGTCCATGAGCTTAATTTTGTGTCCAGATTTTTAGCGAGTCAGTTTATATTTATTCTACCCTGTTATGCAGCTGGCATGACATCAGTCGTATCTAATCGTTTAATATCCTTAAGATCAACAGCCTTCGTTTTAATATGCCTCATTAATAACGGCTTATTACATTTTTATTAATAGGCTTAAGGCCCTGAGGGAGGGTGTCGTTAATTGGCAATTCGTCTCGGTCTGCAGTCCAATTAGTCATACAGCTTCACAGGACTGTCCTCTTATTTAGGAAGCTTGAATCATTTTTCATTTCTACGGTATCAAAGCTGGCTTCCTGTGCCGAATTTAGATTTCCATCGGAGGTCACGTTGGACGCAGTCATTCAGACCAGTGTCCAGCCTGATCCAACGTTATATTTGGCTCACTTTTTTGGTCGAGTTGAGCTGACCGGATGGTGGTTGTGTTGCGTCTAGACTCTAGAGAGCTGGTGTGGAGCTGTTGATGCGTCCCACAACTGTTGACAACGCCCGCGTATGCTAACAGGTGTTCACTGCTGGCATTGTAGAGTAGAAGGTCGCTTGGAGGTCGTGATTTTACGCAAGACGCGTTGACGCCTATTTTTCATAAGACAGGTGTGTGGTGGGTGGTCCAAAGTAACGTGTGCTTTGGTGTGACGTGTTTAGCGGCTGTGACGGGGCAAATTGAGTATATATGTGATGTGGCGCGTGCCTGTTCTGTGATGTGCTCTATTGTGTGATGTATTATGTTTGATGTGCTGTTATATTATGTTCCGAACCGTACCTTTTGAGTGGTGAACAGTTTGAACTGCGTTGTCTTTATATGTTGAGAGCTCATTTGGACGCATGCGATGGTCTTTCAAGTTGATGTGTGTGATGAACGATGAACAGTGGACCGCATGTACAGGGCCCGGGACACACACAGACGCATGTAGACGTATGAACTCGGGACTGGTGCAGACGCATGTGGACGGTTTGTGGACACATGTGAACACACAGGGTGACACTGACCCACCCCCTGTTCCGTTCCACCTGCCGGCGCGGTCTGCAGCCCTCCAGGAGCGACGACCAAGTTAGTGTCGGGTGTGTTGTCCGCCTGTGTGGTGTTAGAACGCGAGCACGAGCTGTATGCCATGACCTGTGTAACATACTGCTAGGCGCTGCTGCCGCTGGTAGCTGCTAGGGGCTGAGCTACCAGTGACTAAGTCACCAATGGCTGCCAGCTACTGCTTTTCTATTGGCTGCGCGTTGCCAGTCCCTGTTGTCGTCAGCGGCTGTTCGGTGTCCATAATTGTGGTGTGTTGTGATATTGGCTGCTGCTGCCAATAAGCTGCTGCTCGGGGCCACAGCCGTTCGGCGAAAACCGGCACGGGGATATCAAATTAGCCACGACTAGCATCCAATCCCTCACTTCGTTAGCTTCCATGGCAGCCCCCTGGGCCTTGTTGGTGTACCCTATACTCCGTCCGCTCAGCGTATTGGCGCTTTGACTCACGCTTTGGGGCGCTGTGTTAGCTTGTTTTCTACGCTTACGTGTACGCTAATCCGGCCAGTCGTGACCAGTACCATGCACGTAATCGCCGGTAAGTCAGCGTGCTGCTTACGTTATTTGTTCCGTGAATCCATGGTCAGCTTGAAACTCAAAGCGTCCGATGCACCGGGAATTAACCACCAATCGAATTCGGGTCTGAATTACTAACTTGGACCGCCGATTTTGCCTCCATGTGCGGTGTCCGTTACAAGTACTCCTACCAGCGGTTGACAAACCTGTCCGAAGCCTGGAGCTGAGTGGTCGCCCCTGCCTGTCCAGTGTCCAGTGTCCGCGCCTGTCCCTACCGCCTGCTCTGAAGGTAGCTCTGCGCTGCCGCCGTCTGTTAGCGCTGTGAATATCGCCACCCCGCCGGCGCCGAGCATAGCGCTATTGTGACCGCCACAGCAGACTCCTCTAATTGGCTGTCGGCGCGTCATACGCTCCGCTATTTCTGGAGACGCACCCGCTTCACAAGACGCAGACGAACGCTGCCTCTATAGGATATATTGAGTCCACTTCGCTGGGTATGTAAAGAAAATTGTTGGTAACCTCTTCTCCTGGAACGGAAAGGGGTAGAGATATGATGACACAATGATAGATATGATGCCTGCAGTATCTGTGAGACCTTGGAAAGGCACGGTCCGAATCTGCAGACTTGGTTGCCGGTTGGTTGACTTGTTGGACCATTCTGTGAACTCATCGATGGAAATTGTGCCACCTTGGGGCCGTATGGAGCTGATGGTGCTTTTTTGTATTCCTTTTCGATTTGTAGGAAATGTAGAACATCATTTCTATTCGAACCGGACGCCTCTAACACTGAGTCCAACACCACTCTTTGAGCTCGGTGCCTAGGGGATTTTTTTTTTCGCGGCAGCTCTGAACATTTAAGAAGGAAGGATGAAAGAAAGAGTGATTAAGCCTCATTAGCATACAGTTACAGGCTCCTTTCACTGTGAAGAACACAGACAGGCTAATATGCTTCTTTCGCTGCATAGCATTAGCCGCTGGCCGTAATGAAACATTTGAATGGGTACTTGTTTTGAAAGGGCAAGGGGTTCCGCTGAGACCAAGGTTCGCTGTGCACTCACGCCCCGTTGTATTCGAACGTAGCCAGCTGGTAATGTGGGAACTTTGCTGGGCTTTCGTGCATATCCACTGTGGGAGCCAGTTCCGTTGCCTAGGCGGCCAGCGTAATGCGGATTTATTGCACTACTACACCGCTTCTCTACAGGTTCGCCTTGAGCTTACTTTCACAACAAACTGTAGAATGAAGCTGTAGTGGTGTAGTGGTGCTGAGCTGAGCATTATTTTTCGGTTGTCCCCGAATTCAGCGGCTTGGAGCGATTTCGAGCCATGCTTCTTTCATATATTTCAATTCCAAATGGTTTATCATTATTTTTGGTCGCCAGCTCATTTCCTCATGATCGTTAGACTGACATGCCTACCTTTTTCTAGCGATCAGGCAATTTATCGCTCTACTCGCTTTCGGCCGTTACAAATAATTTCTCCCCATTTCCGGTATCTAATTTCATCTTTCGTTCTCTTATTTTACACTTTCCCATTCCCTCGCTCAAATGCTTGCATGCCTTATGTCCCCTCCCAGACACATTTTCTCTCTCTCCCCCCTCTCTCTCTCGCTCTCCCCCCGTCGCCTGTCGTCGTTGTTGGCTCGCCGGGGAAATATGTCGGCTGTTTACGGCCCCCCGGGGTCTCCCCCAGCCCGATACCGTCCATGTTTCGTCAGGCTGCAGCTCTATGACTATCCAGGGAGTCTGGCGGCGGTCCCTTCAACCCATCGTGTGTATTATTCTGGTCCAGCCCGTTCGTCCTCTCCGTATGTCCATTTGTCTTATTCGTCTGGTGTTATGGCTTGTTATGTCCGTCCGTTGAGACTCCTGCCCGCTGGTTTGTCTGTCTCTGTTGTCTGTCTTACTTACTGTCGTTTTCCATCCTGTCCGTCCGTTTTGCCCGCCCATCTAGCTTATCCGTCCGTATGGCCTTCACGACCTACCCGTCTGCTCGTCTGCTTGTCTTGTCCGTCTGCTCGTCTGTCCGTCCGTCTGTCCTGCCCGCTCGTCTGGCCCGGTCTGGCTCGCAGGTTGACCGGTCGCGGTGTCGGATCGATTCCCGGCCGTGCAGGCCGCGGCTGGTGCCGGCGCGCGGCGGGGTCGAACCCTGCCGACTCAGGCCGACCCGGGCATTGTTACCGCCTCGGGGAGCAGTGGGCCTGCGGCTGTGGAGACCGATAGAACAGGCGCTGATTTTGCGGGAGCGATGCCGAGCCTCTCAGCTGAAGAGCGTACTCAGCAGACGGGACCGAGCCGAGAGAAGAGGGTTTAAAAATGCAGAACGCTGAAATCGTGGGGAGTGAAATGATATTACAGATATCCGATCTTCTGGAGAACTAATCTACTGTACTCGAACGACCAGAATCCATCTCGCTGGAATTTCAATTCACGAGGAGAGGCGGCCATCGGGAATGTGTGTGCACACCGTTGTTTATTCATAGGCGAGCCTGCGGCGTGCTTTCGAGCTGGAACTTCCTTGTTATTTACCGACTGACGTCAGGGCTCCGATCATTTTCATCCGCACGTAAGGACGAGCGAACGGATCCATGGTCCTCATGGGGAAGTGTATGGGGATGACTTTGGATCGCAAATGTCAGACTAAGAGTTATGTGAGCAGCGACCGGGTGATTTTATAGTACATCCAAGCGAATGAAAATAACGCATATTTATCGTCCAGTTTGCAGCCTGCAAAGCGCATTTGCAAAGCGCCTCAGTGGGGGCTATTGCCCACCTGCTCCATGTCGAATTTCAGATCGACACTTCCAGTTCAAATCGACAGTTCAAATCGACAGCTCAAATCAACAGATGATATTCCCAGGCTCCTGTACCTGCATGCACCGTCGTTTTTGCTCGGCTGGGTCGGCCGCCCCTTTTCTCTGGACTGGGTCGGCCTGGCGAATTTAAACGCCTGTCGAATCGCTGCACCGCAAACTGCTAACTGGGCACCAAACAAATCGGAACAGCCACACTGCCGCTTCGTCAGCAATTCGGGCCTGTTGACGACGATAGTTGGCGTAAATGCTGAGGTAGTTTGGTAACTTTCGTCGTTAGAACTTTGATGCTAAGCAGCAATGCGAAATGGACTGTATGGGACAGACGATTAGCCTGCGGCAGTTGGACTCATGCTAATCGTATCGATTATTTCGGTATGGTGTACGTACACGTATGAAAGTAGACTGTGTGCACTTTCTATGAAACATAACCGACTATGATCCAGCCCGTGTTCGAGTTCCATTTGACAAGCTACAATCCGACTCTCCGCCTCCAAATTTGTTTATTTGTTTATTTCACAACATCGCCAACAGGCAGTACCCATTGAGAGGCGAAGTCAAAAACATACGAATACATCGAAAGAAAGAATAGCTAAGAGTCTACTAGCTTTGCATGCTACATGCCTACACAATAAAAGCATATAGTAAAAATAAATATGGTGAAAATATAGGTACCTGCTATAAAAATATACCTAATATAAATATGACTAATCAATAACAGTATACACTAAGAACAAGACGCACTGTGATAAAAGTATACAGCATGAAGTATGATGGATAAAACACTATGTCAATGGCATCGCTCTCACATACTTCCTGACATGACCTTTGAACATACAAAGGCTCATGTCAAAAACATCGGCTTTAGGAACATCGCGCAGGAAGCTGTTCATCATCTCAGGAAGCCGGTTAAAAATTCCCGTCTTCACAGCGTTCACACGGGCATACGAAGTCTCAAAGAGCGAAAGTCGGCGTGTGGTGCGTCTGGGTACATGAAGTGAAAAACAGCTGAGGAGGTATGGCGTATCCACCTGACCGCGACAAACATTTCGTAAAAACATGATATCGTATTGCATGCGCCTGGCTTTCAAAGTGGGCATCTCAAAGACCTGCAGCAGGTGTTCATAGGACAGAGAGCTAAACACAATGTTGTTTGATTTCGACGCCATCCACATAAGAAATTTGTGCTGTACTCGCTCCAGCCTCTCCACATGTGACTTTGCCGCGCCGCCCCAAATGACGCACCCGTACTCCAAGATGGACCGAATGTTCGCAAAGTACGTAGCCTGCAAGGTTTTCATGCAGAATTTTTTATTCGGGAGGCCAGTCTGAAAAGACCTAATCAAAACGCCGAGAGCTCTGTTTGCTTTTGAAACTATGTGGTTGATGTGGGCCGAGAATGTTAATTTTGAATCCAGCATTACGCCTAAATCACGTACTTCGGAAACGCGCTGCAAAACCGATCCATCAATAACGTACGAGTGCATCACGGGTGACGACCTCAAGCTCAGTGTGAAAGCGAAGCACTTTGACGGGTTGAGGTGCAGCTTCCAGTCTGCCGACCATCTGCTGAGATTATCAAGGTCAGACTGGAGCTGCTCACAATCAGACATTGACCTAACCCGGTGATACAACTTAACGTCGTCCGCAAACATGATGCAATGAGATGAGTTCACAGCCATGGGCAAATCGTTGATAAAAAGCGCGAATAAAAGAGGTGCCAAAAGAGCCCCCTCTGGGACGCCTGACGTCACGTTCCGCCACTCGGACACTTTACCGTTCACCACCACCCTTTGCTCCCTGTCGGACAGATACGATTCGAACCAGTCCAAAATTTTGTCAGATAAATGATAAGAATTTTTCAGCTTGAAGAGAAGTAAACGATGATTAACAGATTGAAAGGCGGCCGAAAAATCCGTGTAGACTGCGTCCGTTTGACATCCGTCCGACATCGAGGTCCAGGCGTGGTGCAGGTACGTCGCCAGATTGGTAACACACGAGCGGCGCGGAAGAAAGCCGTGCTGCGCCTCAGAAAGGACGGGAGATACGTGGCGCATCAGCTCGTTATACACGACCCTCTCAAGCACCTTCCCAAAGAGCGGAAGCAAAGACACAGAGCGGTAGTTTTCAGGAGCTTTCTTGTCTCCTTTCTTAAAGATCGGAACAATGTTAGCCTGCTTCCACCTCTTCGGAAAGGAGCCCTGATGCAGTGATAGAGTGCACAGCTTCACCAACGGAACACTCGTATGGTCCTCCATCTAGACTCTGGATTTCCGTCTGCTCGGGCGTCGACATCCGACTGCCCGAATCTCTGGCAAGTCGCCACCAATTCGTCTGTATTTCGAACATTTCAGCACCCCGCTGACTGTTATCGGGCCTCTCCAGCGAGCTCGGTAGATGTCTGTATAACTAACACGGGCTATATGACGGTTCTTGGACCCGCGGCCAGCAGAGCTGTCCATTCTGGGTCTCTGGGGACTGGTAGTGAACAGCTGACGGTGGTACGGGCCGGCCGGAAGCCTGTCCCTGAGCCAATCTGGCGATGGACCACCGCGTCCGGCCGGAACAGGGGTGGTTACTGTTGATATCTGAGGAAGGAAATGTGTAATACGTTTTGTGTCTATGGCTGTGCAATATGCATGAATGCATGCTCGCCTGAGGCCCGAATGTAAAAAAGCTTACGCTGCTGAACATATTTTATATTACTGTAAGCTGTTGTACAAAGCTGTTTCGGGGATCCCTTCCAAGTTCAAATGTTCCGCTGTTTGCTATCGCATAGCTTCGTGTTGAACGCTAGCAGCTAACCCGAGGGTTGGGCTAAATTATTGAGAGAAGTCTGATTTATTCGTTAGTGTCTCTCGATGCAGAGGGTGATTGATGATCGTAAACCAACGTCTCATTGATAGATACTGCACATTTATCTACGTCAGCGTTTCACTGATTACGGTAGACTATGATTTCACCGTTAATTCATGGCAGTAATAACGCGTCCTGCTTGGGATCGTTGAGATGAGTTGAGAGAAATAAATTATGCATGTCAGCATCAACTGATTGTGTTATTCAACATTCATGGTCATATAGCCTGTTACTCAATGCCTCTAGGAGGGCTAAAAATGTAGCTTACAACCAACCTTTGAGCGTCATCATTCATGTTTGTCATGTAGTGTTTTTTTTTTTTCCATGTGGACTGAATGACTGTTTAGGGCTACTTGGTGATGGGAGTCGTTCCATGCATGGCGCCTGACCGTGGCTGGCCGCCGCCGCGCTGGCGAACCCCTCTCTGGCAGGAAGAGATCCGTCTGCCGATGGTGACGGGCATCGTCGGCTCGGTGGCGGCCTCGGGGGAGCTGCTCAACATCCGAGACGCGTACGCCCATCCGCTCTTCTACCGGCAAATGGATGAGAACACCGGCTTCCGGACCAGGTAGGTGGCGCTGCGATCGCCGCAGCAGGTGGCGCTGTGCGCTGTTGGATAGAGGACGCTGCGATCAGCATGTGAGCCGTGGGTGAGCTTGGTGATGACATCATTGGTCGATGGTCGCGGTGTTTGTGTACCAGGGACGAGAAATGACTTAAAACTAGAACCAAGCATCTTATCATAATCCATATTTAATTTGTACTTCGTCGTCCCTTAGTTACCCTAAAATCATCCTTCCGAGGAGCAAAACGGTACGGACTCCATGGGGTGAGCTTCAGCCCTCGACACCGTCAACTGGCGACTCGAGCGTCACTCTCGTTGCCCGGAACCCTGACAAAAGGCAGTGGTGTCTCATTATCAATGGCGTAGAAGTGTTTCGATCCAGTAAAATGGTATTCTGATGGCCTTACTATTATTATAGCTTGAAATGCGTTTTTTTCGTAGTGCTTTTCGTAAGCCTCAGAAAGCGTCTATCTCCGAATTTGTTTGTTATCCATCCAATCGTCATGCCAGGATGTCGTAGATCACATTCGTTGATATTGGTGACCTAAGACCTTCGATATTCGGTGTCGGCGAAATGAGCTAGGCGGACAGCGGGATGCCGCGAAATCCGAAGCTTAGATATCGAGTTGTCATATTCGAGTCCCTACTCTTGGCTGGTAGGATTTTTTGTCCCGATCTGGCGCCAGCTTTATTATTTTTGTGTGTACATATTTGTAAAGCATTGATCGTAATGTTACGATTTTGCGATGTTATAATTTTTAACGTTCTTTTGAATGTTAAACAACATATTGCCAGCCAAACTGCGTATAATATTTATACCTAGGTATATACAAAAAAAAAAAATCATCTCAATTCAGTTAATTTTCCTCACAGGACAAGTGTGCCCCTTGTTATTTGAACGATATTTTCCGCTCCGTTACTGTTTAGTTTAGGCTTATTTTGTCACTGATTGAGAAATGAAAATCTCGCATGTAGTCATAAATTTGTTGCGAATAGATATAATTTTAATGCTCCTCATTTCATCAGAAATAGTTCATATCAAGCCGTTATGTTATTAATGCACCTAAGCGGCGTTTTCTTACAATGCATATAAAGCATAAAAAAGCACACGGTCGATATGCCCACCCTGCAACATATGCCTGTGCAGGCCGACTGTGGGTACTGAGTACTGAGTACCCATTGGAAATACCCCGCCACTGATGACGCAATGCTCGATGGAGCCCGCCGTTGCCGTGGCGAGGGTCGGTCGCTGGTCACGCAGCCTGTCTCTCAGCTGTCGAGCCCGCCCAGTGACACAGGTCCTGAGGGACTCCAGGCAGCCGCCCTGGTCGCCATGCTGTCGTTCTGTCGTGACAGGTCCCGCAGAACAGCTAATTTCCCGTCTGCTGCTGTCCTCGGCCACTGATTCGGTCTATTGATCGCCTAATGATTGGCTGTCAGTACTGAGTTTTTCCGAGACTTTCCCGCTGGTCCATTTCCGAGGTACGATTGCGCTGGTGCCTGTTTTGGGAGGATATTTCTGTACTCCCAATATCAGGCTGGCACGGGAATTGGGGGAATGTGAATAGAAATTGTTACCTGCGATGACATTTGAGCGAGGTCAATAATGCAATAATAGAAGCTCGATGTCGCTCAGTATGTCCATCCAATGTCATCGACTCGTTTTCTGTGGATAAAAAAACTAGAATAGAACGTCTGCGTCGTTGTTCAGTACTATCGGCGTTTCTTTCTGTTCCTTTTTTTTGCGAAGGGACATATTCTTCTTCCGGATGGTTATGGTTCTAACTCACATCTATAGGGTAGATGAGTAGTCTTTCTACCCAAGGCTTTCTCTTCAAAATAGGTATATCAGATTCTTAGCTTCTCCTATTCCGATTTAAACCCATATTATTAATCACTGATAAACTGATTTATTCATTTCAATGAAAACCAACGAGCACCGCACTGCCATCGGTGCTGCCATGCCCTCCCCCCCCCCCCCCGCCTGTGGCCACTGAGTGGAGCTGCCAGCGTCAGCTCCGGGGGTCCGACAATCCATAATCAATGCGGTAAGCGGGCTCGCCTGCCGGATCCGCCGGCCAGTGTGCGGTGCGGCGCTGGGGGCTGTGGGGAGGGGAGGGGGACCGGACCGGACCGATTTGGACCGCTCCGCCGCGCTGGGAGATGTCGGTGCAGGTCAGTACGCCGCATGGCTATCGAGGTGTCCCATCAGCCGGACGGCTGGCCGCAGACGACCATTTCGGGAGAGTCGCGGAGGGCTCGGTTACCAAATATCGGAGGCTTGAATGGACGCTTGAAATGGCAAGCCAGGTCGCATTTAGTAGCTGGACGAATGGATGGCTTCCTCCACTCAGTTGGTGTTAGAACTTAGAATACATGTAGTGGACTGGTCGTAAACTTATCCGTTTTAAAAATACTTGATTTAGTCGGTTTATTACGGTGATATATTATTTGATTTATGCTTGCTATCTTATTTAACTAGTTGATTTAGTAGGAATGATTTAGTTTTCACCGTGTTGGATGAAGAAGACTGGCCGAATTAAATTTGAACTTGTGATTTAATTTATTAACGTTTTTAAAAGCGAGAGCTTTTTCGCACTGATCGTCTATCGGCGTGTTCTAAAATCGTCGTTCACGAAAATAGCCTCCACTGTTCATTGTCCGCCAGCTTTTTCAGCCATTGATGAAGTGAAATGTGGTGTCGTTTGTAATGGAAGGCCGTGTATCGTCCGCTTTCTATCGACTTCTTTTTTGTTAATACCTACTCATAGAATTCCTCTTTCCAACAGGACATCAGGTCACGCAGCTAACTATAGCCTGACATAACACAATTTGTGACTTTTTGGCGCGCAGCTTCTATCGACCGATACAACTTCTGATGTAATCTTAAAGTGTTCGCGAGCTGCGAAGGCATGCGATGTCCTTAACTTGTCCTTTGTAAGCGATATGGCTGTTTTGGAAGTGAAATATTGGACATTGTTACTGAATTTTTTGAAAATATTCCCGTCGAGCTGCAAGGGAATAACTAGCATCAAGGTGGATTTGTAACAAAGTACAACTTAATTGTATTTCAAGCTTGTCCCTCATGGTGTTCCTCACACGACCCTGAGTGTTTTCTAAATAGACCTCAGTCATTTGCTTCGGATTGTATTTGACAGCAATGACCAACACATCTGAAAGTACAAGGAAGGAAGCATCAGGACAGAGGTGTACCTAGCTGGGAGTGATGCAGGCAAGGATAAAACACTTACAAACGATACATGGGTACCACGGTCCTCTATCCCCCCTCGAGACTTTAGGTACCGTATGGTGCCAAAGTCTGAAGACAAATGGACAAACGCAAAGAACTCTGTTGACAATGAAATAGAACGACATCGTAACGCACAACCGAAGGACATGTCACTCGCAAACATAGTCATCGAGGTACTGCGGTCGGTGGCGTTCCCGGACGCTATGACGAGTACATCGCGGGAGAGCAGGGGGCGAAGTGGCGGGTTCCCTCTCGTGCTCGACCGGAGCAGGAGAACACATGCGCGCGCTCTTCCCGGGCGAGCGGTTGGGTGTCGCGGATGGGGCGAAGTGGTGGGAAGGTGACGCGCTGCTTGGCTGGCTGGCCGGTTCAGGTGCCGGCTCACGGGGGATGAGAGAGCGGGGAGACGAGGCCATGTCGCTGTGAGGCGGCGTGGGTGGACTGGGGCGGTTGGCGAGTGTGCGCGAACGGTCGCCGGCGCTGTGGGACAGTGGCAATCCGCGCGATGGATCCTGCGTGTCCCTCTTCACGGAACTCTCGTCTCGGGACTGCGTCCGTGGGATCTGTGGTAGTCTCACCTCTCGTGCCAGTGGCGGGCGAGGAATGAACGGGGTGTAGGAGCGTAGATGCTTGCGGTTGCGGATGGTAACACGTCCAGATCCGTCAACCTTCACCACGTACTGGTCAAACTGACGTACTTCGATAACGATCCCCGTCTTGTCCCACTTCATGGGGTGCGGACCTATGAGGTTTTGAAGACGCACTGTGTCACCGACGACGAGTGGGGGCAACATCCGAGTGTGTTCGGAGAGCCGCTCGTGCGTCCTCATGTGACGGTTGCGAAGTGCCTCTTCGCGGTAGGCGAGGGTCTCCCGCCATGTGCTGTGGGGCTGGTATTTTCCGGGATGGATTGGGATAAAATCCCTGATCGGCCGTCCGAAGATAACTTGGGCGGGCGACATGCGAGTGTCGCGGTCCGGCGTGTTGCGGTATTGTAGTACGGCACGCTGAAAACGATCTGTGTCCAGACTACCATCTGGCAGTGAACTGTCTGATATCAGTCGCTTGACGGTTTTGACTGCTATCTCCGCTCGGCTGTTACTGTGGGGGAATCCTACAGAGGATAGGCGATGCCGTACTCCCCAATCACGGAGGAACTGCTGAGTGGCAGTTGCTGTGAACTCCGGGCCACCGTCGGATGATAGCTCGTCACTGATGCCAAACGTGACAAAGATGCGCCGCAGTGCAGCGATGAGGCCCTTGGAGCCGTCCGCAGACTCCTCCACGATAGGCCAGTTACTGTAACGGTCCACAGCCACCAGATAGTGGTGGCCGTTGTGAGAAAAGTAGTCGGCACAGATAGCTTGAAATGGGTACGCTGGGAGGAGCGGAGGCGTGGGTGGGGACGATGGCTGAGACGGGGCGTTGCGGTTACATGCCTCGCACCGTGAACGCGTGTTCTCAATAGCCATAGACATGCCAGGCCAAAAGAACGAGCTCCCGGCCCGTGCATCCATCATTGTCACTCCTTGATGGGCGGCGTGAAGTGCTTGAAGAGTGCGATCACGTAGGGAAGTCGGTATAACGACCCTGTCGTCGTAGAGGAGCACGCCATCGTAGTCGCTCAGTTTCTCTCGGTATCGATAGTAAGGGCGAACAGCCGGCGGCATCTCAGCTGCGGTGGCTGGAAAACCGTCGTGGATGAAGTCGGATAGGGTTCTCATATCTGGATCGCTGGCAGTGGCGGCCCGTA